GTCCGTCTCTGTTTTCGCTGGCCTGTCGTCCGTTACAATGTCAGTCTTCTCCCGCACGTTGGTAAAGATTCGCTGCTGCTATCGCTATCGAGTTCTCGACTCTTTCCCTTGCTCTGCCTCCTCTCCCTCACCTCTTCTTCCTTCTCCTTCCTCTACCTCGTGGGCTTAACCTTCTTCAGAACCCGGCTTTGTGCGTTACTCTGTTCCTTCTGTCTGCTTCTTGACCAATTCCTCCCCCTAGTTGACGGACGTGCTTTCAACTCCTTTGTCGTTTTTCTCTGTTCTCCATTTGAGGATCTGACTCCCAAACTCCTGTCCGTCTGTCTCTCCCTGCCTCACCTTGTCGTCTTGATGATGAATCAATGTGGGGTAAGGTCGGGCAGTATCCACTTACCTTGTTTAGCTAGGGACTCGATGCTCCTTCACCTCTTTTAGCCGGTCCGTCTGTATTGGCTGCCCCTTCTCTGTTCTGATGTCCTGCGTCTTCACCTGGTCGTCTCTTGTCTTTTGATGCTACGCTGTTTCGTTCCTTTCCCAGAGTCTTACCTGTGCTCCTTCCTTCCCCTTCTCCTCCTCCTTCCCCTTCTCCTCCTCCTTCCCCGTTGTCCCTGTTCCACTTTTTCGTCTCGGTTTTCCTTGCTCGTTGGTACTTTGCCCAAGATAGTATGCAGTTGCCGCGCCCGAAGGCGCGGCTCTATTAGTTATTTCGATGCCCGACCCCTCTTCTTCCTTGAGTATTTCGCTTTTCCTTCTTTTCGTTGTGCTGCACTGTTCCCCTTCTCAGCCTTTTCCTCTTAGTTCTTTTTTGTCTCTTCTTCTCCTCCTCTCCCTCTCTCCTCTCTCTGTCTCTTTCCGGAGAATGGGGGGTGGCCACGCCCGTGGGCGTGGCTTGTCGTGATGTGGCTGAAGCTGCTCTCGCCCCCTGAAGTCCTTCCCGCCAAAAACGGTGAAATCGTAATTGGAAGGGACGCGTGTGGTTTCGCGCACGGATCCGAGAGCTCGCGAGCAGTGCAATCGAAAATTTTCGGGTCACGGGCGAGACCCACGTCGACGCTGGCTGGCGAATTGGTGCGGCTTCCGTAGCGCTAACCGGTCGGCGCTAGCGCTCCGACTTCGTTCGAAAGTTGTGAAACTAACAAGCACCAAAAGAGGAAATTTCAAAAGTTTCCCAAGTTTCCTCGTCTGGAACTTTCTCTATTTTAATTTTTCAGTGTGTGTCAGTGTTTCGTGTTCCAAATCCCGAGTCCCAAATCACAAGTGGGACAAACTTCAACAAAGCAGTGGATGTCAATTTCTGAAGAATCTGAACAGCTGCTCACAAAAGCCAAGAAGCTGGAAGCACCCTAGCTGAAAAAAAAAAAAATAGCAGTTTTTGGTTGGAAGTTTTTAACTTTGAAGTTTTAGCTTTTTAGTTTTAACTGACTAAATCAAGAGGCAGTGCGAGTTCTGAGGGGAGTGTAACTTGCAAGAAAAGTGTGTTCATTTTTTAGTTATGTATTTTTTTTAGAGTGTCCTCTTCCTGACACAGTGAGCTGTTTTGTGGGGGTGTTATGCGTGTGTGTGTGTGTGTGATGCAGAAGCGGACGCAATTTCGTTAGACGGGCAGAGTTGCTATTTGACAAAAAGTACGTACCAGATATGGTTGGACACCAGTGTGTGTGTGGGCGTGCACATGTGTGCGCATGCGTGTGCCTGTGTGCGTGTGTGCGTGTGTGCGTGTGTGCATGTGTGTGCGTGTGTGCGTGTGTGCGTGGTCTTCGGAATGAGATGAATTGGGTTTATTACACTCTTATTAAACCACCGATACCTTTCACAGGCAAACTTTTGTGACAAATTTGTTCACCACCGCATTCTTCAGGAATTCGGCCTCCCGAAAACCTCTTTGGCTGGCGGCACAAGCCTAAAAGGGGAAAAAAAAAGGAGCACCGCGCGGGCTCGTTTTCAACTTGGTGTGCAGCACAAATCCACCACAGGAAGAAGATAGTGGTGGATTGAAATAGTCACAAAGTTGAACAAACGTTAACAATTTTAAGGCTAGGCTGTTGTTTTTCCATGCGCCTGGGCACGGATTTTTTTGTGCCTGGGCATATGTCTGACGGATGGGTGTGGCAGGACCCCCAGGCGGGGTCCTGGGCAGCCTCAGCGCAAAATCAAAAAGTTAAAAAAAAAAAAAAATCAGAAAAAGAAAATGAAATTCTGGAAACGAAACATGTTGTAGGTAGGTAGTGAAAGGTGAAATTGAGAGAAGAATATAACTTGTTTTTTCTTTTTTGAGCTAGGAAGATTCTCACGCCCGGCCGGTCCTGCCTGGCCGGGCACCTGGGCGTGACGTCCGGGGTACCCGGT